AGTCGGGTCGAAACGTCGGCTTTTAATAAAAATTGTTTCACCACTATTTATGACTGCCATCCGAGACCATCTCCTTCCCTTTTTTTACTTTCTTATCTATACTAGGTAAGGAAAGTATTGCAATGGGGTCAAATTTCCGACATGCGGTTTTCGACGGATCTATACGTTTCAGAGCCTCCTGAGTCCGAAAAACACATTTTTCGCCATTGGTCTGTCTTTCTGTCTGTCTGTGCCAAGATTTTCTCGGGAACTACTGAACGGATTTTGTTTTTTCTTTTTTTATTTTGTAGGGTTTTGACTACTGATGGCTGTGACAGAAATTTGGTGCTCCATGCGCAATAAATGAAAAACATGTTTTTCTATAGACTGTAGCGCAAAAACGGCTCGAACAATTTTGATGAAACTTTCCTATAATGTTCTAATCATTGTTCTTTCAATTTTCGTACATAGACTAAATTCCCCAAAAAATTCAGGAAAAACAGTTATAAAGAAAAGAAAAATGTTATAGGGCCTAACTCTCAAGTATATATTATACGGTAAAATTTATAATAAAACTTTTAATCTATACGTTTCAGATCCTCCTGAGTCCGAAAAACACGCTGTTTTGCATGTCGTTTGAAAGGTAATGAAATTCCCTACAAAGCCACATAAAAATGAGTCAGAAAGGGTTGAATGAGAGAATAAAGATGACCAAGTGAAAGTAAGAAAATCTGTTGCCCGCATCACACAACCTTCACTATTTCCTATACTTTCAACAGAAATTATTATTTGTCAATACTAAGCTATGCTAAAAAGTTTTTGATCAGCAATATTAGGAAGTATTGAAACTTTTACTCTGATCTATCTTAAGCCGGTTTACATTGCTTTAGTTTATCAAATAAATCGTACACAAATCTTATGTTTGATCAATTTTCAAGAAAATGTATCTAGTTCAATTCTTTTCTGTTTCTTCATGAACATATCTAAAGATATAAAAACTTTTTGAAATAGGTAGGAAAGTCGTGTGAGTGGACACACTAGATTTTTTTTTTTTTTTTTTTGTTGCTGACCACGTAAGTTTTGGTATATTGTTCAAATTCGCTAGTCAGATTCGTATACAGCTTCCAAAATTTTGTCTGGCTTTATTAACCGTTGTTACCTACAAAGTGTTCTGAAACTATACTAATTGTTTTTTTTATCTGCTGCTGATCACATAATTTTTTCGATTTTTAAAGCTCTCAGATTCGTATTAAGCTTTCAAAATTTTGTCTGATTTTATTAAATCTGATAACTACCAATTGATCTGAAACTATTCCAGTCGGTTTTTTTTTTTGTAATGCTGATCTCGTAATTTTTGGCATATTTTTCTTGGCTGTCAAATTGTGTTTTATTTTTGGAAGGGAGGGGAATAGTTAATTATTAAAATACCCTACTACAGAAATTAGGCAATTCTATCCTCCCTAAGGAAATTTACTTCCATATCTACAGAAACATTTTGGTAGATAAATTTATATTAGTGTTGTGGTCGCTAACAACCACTACACCAAGTTTAAATATTCGTCGGTGTCAATTTCCCTATCAATCTACTAAAATATTTCAGTAGATAAGGAAGTACATCCCCTCAGGGTATATAAAATTTTTCCAAAAATTCATATAATCAGTATATAAAAGTTTCCAATTTTCATAGTAATTTTTTTTTACTTTTCTACCTATATTAAGTAAGGAAACTATCGCAATCGGGTCAAATTTTTGATGTGCGGTTTTCGATGGATCTGTACATTTCAGAGCCCCCTGAGTCCGAAAAACAGATTTTCAGCGATTAGGCGGTGTGACGGCAGTGGGCGTGCAAATTGTGAACAGTCAATTCTGCACAACCTAATCCATAGGCACTGTAGCCTTATTAAATAATTAATTTAAAATGTTAAAATTATAAAGTCCATGACGATAAATATGTGTTTAAATAAAATGCCGAATAGCAGCAATTCCATACATTGAGAAATATAATAAATGAAGTAATACATGATGCAAAATAAATAAATGAATTAAAATTAATAATATTTCTATTAATACAAATAGTAATATAACAATGAGAAAAACAAAATTTACTTTAAATCATTAAACAACAAGGAAACCTTAAGATTAAATTAAAATTAATATGGGTTTGAATTAAATATAAAGGTTTAACAAAATTAAATTAATTTAATTTCATGGATAAAATTAATTTACTGTTATTAAACTACCAGTTGTGTAAAAATTTAAAAGTATATAATTTTATAATAACAGAAAAAAAATAATAAGGTGGAACCGGTTTAAACTGGTTACCTTATACCTTCAGGTTACCCTGGTTATATAAATCAGAATTGTACGCTAGCCACTACACAATGAGAATGCTTAAGAAAGCTGGCATGAATTGCTGTACAGATGCATGTGCAACCTCAATGTGAGATGCTAATTAAGAAAATTAATGTTTAGTCTCTCAACTATTAAACTGAACACCCAGGTGTGTCTTTTAAAGGTGCGCCACTTACCTTAAAATGTTCATAATTAAATTAAACAAGATCACCTCCAGCCGGCCAGTCATATTTGTGATTTAAAACCATGGGTTTGCCAGGAGGAATTGTTACGGGACGGAGAACTTCATGGAGGTAGCTCTGAACGCATTGCTGCCAGCAGCCATACTGGCTTCCTAATGTTTTTTCTTGCCTCATGTATCAGGTGACACGACGAGAGGTGGAGAGTCTCCAGAAGTGTCCGAAAACATCGTCGCTGAGAAGTATCGGAATGTACGAATTATATAGGGCTTGTACATATAATATTTACTTTAGTAATTAAACAAATAAATAAAAGGTTTATCATATAATGACATGGAAACGAAATAACTACATAAAATAAATAACCTATGTTATATAAACAAAATAAAATTAACACCCATATTACCATATGGTCACAAAATTAAAATTAAAACAAAAATGTATTTCATGTTGACCGCAACACTGCCAAGATTATATCTGGAATTAGTAAACCGATTTTGTTGTGGGATTTTGACTTGTTGGCCTGTTTTTTCGAAAGGTGGTGAAATTACCTACAAAAGTATATAAAAATCGTTCATTTCGGAAAACTATGAACGAAGATACAGCTATTCAATTCCATAAATTTCCTGAGTTCAAATCTCGGTACCAGAAAGGGGAGAGAGAAAGTAGAAAAGTAAGTGAAAGTAAAAAAATATCTAGTGCCCATATCACACAAGTGTTACTATTTCCTCTACGCTTAACAAGAATTATTGTCTGACGAAATTGGACTATGGCAAAAAGTTCTTGATTAGCCATATTAGAGTGTATTGAATTTTAACACTTTGAAAAACAGGAGCCAGATCGAGGCTCTAGAGATGCCTGTGAAAGATGGAGGAAAATGCTAGACGAGACAGAATTCGCAAAACTAAAATCTTCTGGGATTCCAATAATAAAGAACTGATTAAAGAAACTGGTCAATCAATATCTCATAATATGAAGGCACAGAGGATATGGACTGGGAATGAAGACCATTGAAATACATCTGGAAGCATTCTTCTGCGTAACAATAGAAGGAAAAAGATCGCTTGGAAGGGCAAAAAAGCAGATGGGTAGATAGAATCAACAAAGATGCAATAGAGCTGCGTGCAGATAACTAGAAGGAAATAGCACGGCAGAAATGGAGTAGGCTTGTTAATGCGACAAAAGATCTCGGAAGATGCATTCCAGAAGCGAGGTTTAGAATGGAACAGAAGACGAGAGCTGGTACTGAAAAGATCCACCTGGTCCGAAATCTAGAAGAAGCGACATCACACTGCATAAGCGGTAAAGAGGAACATGATTATGATGATGATGATGATGATGATATTCATGATGATGATGATTGAATTGTTAACACTGATCTTCCACTCAGAGAATGGAAACCAAAATTTGGCAAAATGGGAATAAGGATTGGGGAAAATCTATGCATCATGAACCTTATGTTTGCTGATGACCAAGTAATCATAGCCCAGGATAGAGAGGACAATTATATGTTCAGAAAGGTTGTCGAGAATTATGAAAAGTGGGGGTTGACTATTCACTTCATGAAAACAGAGCACATTGGCACTTCATCTGATGGCACGCCAATCGAAAGAGGTATAAAATCTATAGAGAAATTCAAATGCCTAGAAACAACATTTAATAGAAAATGTATATCCACCAATGATATTGACAGAAGAATTGGTGAAGGAAGGAAGGTCAAAGTACCCTTTCTTCTAGCATTACTCAACAGTATCCTTTGGAGCTCGAATATACAGCCCAGTACAAAGAGGCTATATTCGATATTAGGCTATATACTAGACTATATTCGATTCAATTACGACATATGCCTCGGAGACTTAGGTCATCAATGCAAGACACCGAAACAGACTGTTAGCAGTAGAGATGGACTTTTGGAGAAGAGCAGCAAGAAAATCCAGAAGGGAAAGAAACAAAAATGAAATAATTCTGGAAACGATGGAGGTAGAAAAAAACATTTTACCAAATATTGAAAAGAAATGTTATACTGGTTTGGACATGAGAAAAGAATGACGCCTGAAAGATTGATAAAGATGTGTATGGAGGTGAAAATAGAAGGGAGAAGAAAAAGGGGAAGAACAAGGGTAAAATGGAAAGACGCGGTGAAAGGAAGCGTGGCAGGTCATGGCATCATAGTAGAATAAGCTTTGGATAGAGAAGAATGGAAAAATATGTTAAGGAATATTTAGGTCAAGGACAACCACAGTAGTCCACTGCTTTTCCAAAGTAGGTAAAAAAAACACTTACCTACCAGTTATACTGCTTTAGTTTATGAATGAAATCGTACTCAAATATTTTCTTTAAATTATTAATTTAGGAAAATAAATCTAATTCATTTATTTTTTGTTTCTTATTGAACATATTTAAAGATATAAAAACTTTTCGGAAATAGATAGGAAAGTCGTGTGAGTGGATTTTACTTAAACTCAGTATATCATTGTATAATTAAGTGTTCTTTAATATCATTTAGGTCTTATCCCCGTTGATGTCACTTTACAGGGCTTAAATGCCCAATTTTCATTTATGTCTTCCTCTAAAGTACTTTTAATATGGTTCATAATTAACTATCTTTCATTTTTAAATTTTGTTATTTTAATAGTATTTATGATTTGTTAGCTGAAATTTTTCAATCATTCTTGGAACTATAGTCTAGTTATAAAACACTTAAATATTGCTACAATTTGAATACATTTTTATTTAAAATTCCAAGTTATATTTGCACACACACACAATGATTCGGTTACACCAGTGGGTAGCTAGCCTCTGTAGCAATTCCACATTGGTTTTTCTTGTTTCTTGTCATTTTGATGTAGCCATCCATACCCCAACCTTCACCCCAGGAGTTCTTCACCAGCCAGTAGTCTTTGCCGTTTTCGGAACCGTACCCAACTACGAGGACACCATGATTCAGCATTACAGAGCTGCAATTTTCCTCATAGTAGATTTCTCCTAAAGTAGCAATAAAACAATATTTTAGTAGATAAGATTTTAAATTACACATCATGCGTTGACAGATCCACTTGGCCAGTCATACAAGAAAAGTATACTAATATACTTACCTCCAGTATAAAGTTTGAAAGAATCAGCACTTGCATCAATTGCCACAGATATAGGTCCAATATTGGCCACTGCTGATTGTAGAGCTGACTCATTACCACTCTGAAGGTCTTTGTATCCAGTGATTGTGGCTCCAACAGTCGCGTTTTTAAATCTACACGCTGGATTGTTCTGAAGAATCATAAAGTTTATCGGATACATACTTTAAAATTAAACAACCAGCAATAAAATGAACGCATAAGTACCTTTGCTTCGTATGGATATGATTCTTCAGTGTCAATTCCATTATTTTTCTTAACATATTCAAAAGCAGAATCCATAAAGCCACCCTGACAGGACAGGTTTCCCTCTTCTGTGGAGCAGTCCATCAAGTTCTGTTCGCTGAGAGATACGAGTTTACTAGTTTTCAAGAAATGTTGACCTTCGATGGAACCAGTCTGTGGGTTAAAAAATGTAAATACTCAATTCAATATTCATTAGAATTGGATATCCAACAGTAGTAGGAAGTGTTATAAGAGTCTACGATAACTTAATAACTTACGGTAGAGAAAGCCCAACAGGAACCACAATGTGCTTGATCCTTGACAGGTGTGACTGCACCTTTTTGTCTCCAGTCTACACTGCTTGGTAATTTTTCGTTTGCGTGGGGAACGTAAAGTTCTCCGGTCTGCTTTTTAATTCCTTTGTACCCATTCATTAGCTTTCTGAATTCGGTGTTTGTCTGTAATGTAAAAAGCAAAGCCAGTCAGATTGCTGGTAATCATAAATTGACCCTGCGTAAAACATTAAAAACAAATTAATGATGCTTACAAGATCTGCGAATTTGTTTATTCCTAATTTGTATGTCTTGATTCCCTTGGCATATAATTCATTATGCTTTATGACTATTAACTTATTATCGAAGTAGATAATCTTCCTCACCTGATCTTCAGCGCTTGTTGCGTAATGTTTACCGTATTTGATCTAAAATGTGATTATCATTAACATGTTTGGAATCCTTTCATTTTAATAACAATTTTACAATACTTAATAATCATGCCATGCGAGCAAATTACCTTGAATGCACTCCATTCTTCTTCATCACTTTGATTGAAAATTGAGGAAAATACCGACAACGCAAAGGTTTGCGTAATACAAATTACCAATAATAACTTCATTTTCAATCTGAAAAGTTATGTAATCGTTAATTCCAGAGTATAAATAAAGAAAGAAAACATTATCTTAGTTGAACATAACTTAATCTTTAACAGAAAGAAATTGTTTATTTCTTGTTATTTATGAATACTATATTGTCTGAAATATGTATATAATGTTAGTCTTTTATAATTTATAATTTTATAATTTATAAATTATAAATTATAATTTAGTCTTAGACTAAAGCTCTTTGGACCGTATTATACCTGGTAACCAACGGGGGACCAAATAGCGCGAGGTTCTGGTCGCTACGCACAGTGGGTTGTCCTAGTCTATCTAGCTGGACAAAATTCAAAATATCGATAGTGAATTTTTATTCATGGAAAATTACATTAACCGTGTGTTTATACATCGGAGTAATTGGAAACAGAAGAATTAGTTGAAAAAATATCATTAAAATTGGTAAAATTGATGTCAAACATAGAAATTTGAGAGCCAGTCTCAATATTAAAGGGTACTTACTTGTGTGACGATCAGAACAATAAATAAATTTTATACCTTTCCGTTAAGATTTTTTCCAAAAAAATATTAGTGTAATACAAAAGAATTAAGCCTTCTTTAAATGTTAGAACTGAATTCATAAAAAGTTTCGCTTGAGTTATTGTTAACATTTTTCCTATTGGGTAGAAATTTGAAATAAATATCAGGTATACAAATTGTAATAAGCTGTAACTTTAATGAAACCTCTCGGAACTTCATGATATATATAAATACAGTACTACAAATTATTAACTTTACATATTCACCTAGCTCAATTCTGTACTATTCCGTGAAATTCAATTACATAATTTTTTACCCGACTAAGCGAAACGAAACGAACATTAATTGTTTTAGGGTCGTCGACTAATGGCTATGTAACGTTTTTTTGACCGAAACGCTAGATCGTTTTCTAAGTTTAATAGCTCAAATTATTCGGTGTGATCCCTAACTACTCCAAAAATAATGTTCTGTTATTAAATAAAATATGTTTAATTAATTTTTAAAAAGCTTTGTAACGTGGTTTTGAGCGAACGGATGGATCGATTTTTAAGTTTATAGCTCAAAATTTTCAGATAGATTCCCTGAGTGTTTTGAAACAATTCGAACTAAAATACTGAAAACAATTTTTATTATATTTAGTATTTCGATTATTAATTGATTTGAAATGATACAATGTGATCATATGTTAAAGTGAATTGTTAATATTTTAAAAACTAAAACTTATTGTTGACAGGCGCAAATGCATATTTTATAGACAAAAAAAAATTAATAAAAAAAATATTTTAATAAAAAAAAACCGACTACAGAAACTGGAAAATTATATCCACTTTGGCATAAATTGGCATCTAAGAATATTTAAACTTGGTGTTGTAGTCGGGTTCCTATCTCACAACTAGGCTCTTTTGGCTGTTGACTTGCACTGATACATGGGACGAAATATGTTTGTCAAGGGCCGTAACGTGTAGTGAAAGGAACCCGTCCACTACACCAAGTTTAAATATTCGTATATGTCAATTTCCCTATCAATCAACCAAAATGGTTGAAGTTTAGGAAGTACATTCCCTTGGATAGAATTTCCCAATTTTTCTTTCATTTTAATTATATAACATGTGACCAAAATAAAATTTGTTTAATGAAAAAAAAGTAATTCATTAAGCGATCTAGGGATCTCGTGTTATCTTCTCTGAATATGTTCGAAATAAATTCAACCTTCAGAACTATTTTAACAAATGTGTGAGAGGACTAATGGAGAATGTAGCAACAACATTCTATGGAGCAGTAGTGATGATGGCAGTGAGTGGAACATGTTAAGAGGTTTTCTATTATAATTCCTCTTTGCTGATTTATTTATTAGTAATTTAGTAATGTATTACTTAGATTAATAAATAATTTATTAATCTAAAAAATAAATAATATTATAGCAACTTTTTTATTTTTTGGTATTTACGTTTTTTTCTGGAGTAATGTATGCTGTGAATTAAATATTTCAATTCTATTTTAAAACATTGGCTAAATTAAAATTATTTTAAAATAAAAATACTTTTAAGTAAAAAATTAAATATTAATTGAATTTATCAAGTTACGAAATCGAAAATATTTTTTATATATATTCAGTTTTGTAGTTTGATTTATTAACTAAGTTAATTGGATATAATTACTTTTTTAAAAACTAAAATGTGACTCTTGTGAAATTTATCTGTCTTTTTTGCAAACTGTAAGCAAAGGAAATTTCAGAATTTTATCTTCATTATAGTGAGCTGTTATTCAAAATTGTATCTTAACGTGACACTGTGTTAGAGAGAACAAAAGGGAAAAGAGAACTATTTTGCTTGAACATATGGATTAAAACATTCACATACTTAGTTTATATTAATAATAATGAGCATAAAATCTTGAAGGAAATTATTTACAAATTGGTTTACCTTTAACGAATAAATCTATTCCATCGACTGCTGTGGAGTAATTCACTTTATTTAAACGACCGTATTTATAATCCTATCATTTCCAACGTCACAATCGATTTCTATTAATTTTTCTTCTCATAAAACAAACTTTTGAGGGTCGCGATTGGTGTCAATTTATTTTTAGCAATTGCATTAGCTAAACAGATTGCTTTTCTTATTTCTTGTGAACAACGAGTTTCTCCTTGCTGTTCAGAGAGATAATAAATTGAAATGAATTTTTTTCAGTCTGTAGCTTTGCCGTGCCCTATTGAAAAACGCTGCAAATTATTTCACAATGGTTTATTATCTCCAAACGATTATACATCTAAAGTAACGTTACCATCCCAGTTACAAAGAAAAAAAACAAAAGGTGATTCCAATTATTGGACTAAACTGTTTTTCTTTAATCATTAGTAATATGCTAAAAAAAAAATAGCATTAATTTAGTAACACATTTAAGATTTAAAAACCAAAGCAAGGATTTCACATTTGGAGGAGAACACATTTAAAAAACCGGAGACCATATCTTTGCTCCTAATTATCCGATTTTAACGATTTTTTTTTTAGGAAATTTCGTAAACTTTTAAAAAACTATATACAATATCAACAAAAAAGTAAAAACTTTTCGAGTTATTCGGAATTTAAATTTACCATCCCTCGTAACTTTTTTTTCCAGCTTCTTTTCGGTGAAGTATGTTATATAGATAAATTTAAAGGGCGTCGAGAAAACGACATTAGCGAAGTTTCATTGAAATCTGTACATTCGTTTAGGAGCTACAGTCTATACCAACGCAGGTTTTTCGGCCGCCATTTTGAAAGTTAAAAGGCGGAGAGTAATGTCGATGAAGAAGGATCATCCTCGGGCGACCTCTCATTGTAAATACAAATTTGAAAAAAATCGGTCCAGTAATTTCGGAGGAAATTCGCGGACGGCGGACGGCGGACGGACAAAAAATTTTTATTCGTTTTTCGAATTCTACGCGTCTTGAAACGTGAAACCTCAAATTTTGAGAGGGGGTTATGTTTTTGAATTTTTCGGTCGATCACAATGTTTCATTATTGAAAATAATAAACAAAAATACCATTGCTATATCCTCAGCAATGGAGCTCTAGTTCATTATAAACTTATGTAGGATTAAATAAATGCCTTTTCTACCTGGCCTTGGAAAAAAAATCACTATTTAGTTCCTCTGTTAGTATTTATATCAAGTATTCGAATTGACATTTGTTTCTGAGTTCGAGTGAACAACATTATTATGTGGTATAAGACGTATACTTAAAATTTCTTAAGCCCTTTTATGATTTTTTAGATACTATGTGTTTTCATAGTCATTGCTAATAGTTGGACTCGAGTAAACTAATTGTTTCTTTTCTTTTTTTTAACATCAGGTGTTTATGTGTTTTTTTCATTACAATTGACATTTTATTAGGTAGGAATTATTTACAGCCATGTTTGGTGAAAACATTGGATTTCACTTATTTACTTAATTTTCACTATCTGAATATGGTAGCACTAACAATTACAGGATTTAATTTTTGGGGGAGGGTATATATATATATATATAGCACATATATATTTGGATATAGCACATATATAGCACAACATGAAGAGAAACTACCCATTGGTAGCACTCCAATTATATTTCTATATTAGAAGGTCCCGAGACATCTTCTTTTCAGACGCCTCGGAGGGTTATCAGGAATAGAAGAGGAAACAAAGTTGGAAACCATTTTGAGATTACGCCATTCCATTTTACCTTATATGAGTTTTTCGGATTTCTTACATATTAGGATCTAATTATATATTTTCGGAGCCGCAGTTTTTGAAAAAGATATCCATTTTGAGATTACGCCAGTGCATTATGAATTATTTGAGTTTTCCGAACTTCTTTTATATCATGGTAAATTTATGTTTTATGAGCTGCAGTTTCTGAAAAGAATGTCTATTTTAGATCACTGTTAGCTCTCTCTTAGTTTATTTCAAACCTCGAATGAGGCCTAACTATTTAATTGTGATTTAATTAATGATAATAAAAAAAGAAAGAAAGAAAGTGGACTGTATCTTCAAACATTTATTTTGGAACATTTATGAAATCTATTGAAAACATAAAAACAAAATTAATCAATTTTACACTCGTTAGATAGATAAAAATAAAAAAAATAACAAACTTCTAGCATACGGGCTTATGACTTGGACCTAAGACTTGTTTATAGCTAGGGCTAAAATCCATAACTAGTCCAAGTATAACCTATTGATCTATATAATATAAACAATATAAGCTATGGGCCTGTAATACTTAATAAAATACTTATACCTTTAATACTTAATAGTAGCCTGTCCATTGTCGAAATAATACCTAAACTCATAAAGCCACCATTAATACCCATCCTCTTACTGTCCTATCTAACGTTTACCCATTATGGACAAAATCCTGGAAAATATCATCTTAAAACGCCTTTATTCTATCCTAGACTCTAAACACATAATCCCAGATCACCAATCTGGATTCCGCACATCCCTCTCCACTATTCAGCAATGCTATGGTGTTGTAGAAGTAGTCTTCTCTGCATTGAAGAGCGGAATGTACTGCACGGTAGTGTTTCTCGACGTTGAAAAGGCGTTTGATAGAGTCTGCCATTCGGGACTGATTTACAAACTTCTTAAATTCCTACCTCCTTTATACTTCCTCACTATTCGTTCCTACGTTACAGACATATACCTCCAAGCAAATTCTAACAATACTTATTCATCTCATTTTGCTCAGTTTGCTGGTGTTTCTCAAGATAGTATCCTAGATCCTATCCTTAACATAGTTTATACAGCTGGCATCACAAGTCATGAAAAATGGTGTCAACACTGGAGGATTAAAATAAATGTCAATAAATCCCATCAAATTGCCTTTACTCTCTGTCGGAAACCTATGACTTCCTGATCTACAGTATTCTTTAATAATACACCACTTATCCCTGTACCCCACAAATTCGATACCTAGGACTCCACCTAAACAAACGACTCACTTGGAACCTCATACCGGACTGAAACGACTAGAAACCGCCCGACGTTTTCGACTACTGCAGCACTTACTAGACAAACGCTCTAAACTTCCAGCTATTTACAAATGACTCATATATACTTCTATAATAAGACCTATTTGGACTTAAGGGATCGAGCTTTGCGGTTCTACTAAACCATCAAATTCCTCTCGTATCCAATCCCTACAATCCAAAATCCTCAATGCTCCCTACTTTGTCGCAAATAAAATCGTCCATAACTACCTTAATGTACCATATGTTTCCGATTTAGCTCAATCCAAATGCCTATCCTTCTATAATAAACTTCTGAACCATCCGAATCCTCTTGTTTCCAACTTTGCTTTTTCTTCTATTCCTGATAACGCTTTGAGGCGTCTGAAAAGAAGATGGCCTCGGGACCTTCTAATATAGAAATATAATTGGAGTATTACCAATCGATAGTTTCTCTTCATGTTACCATTTTATATTTACTTATTGTATTTTTTATTTAATACAATAGTAATTACAAAAAAAAAAACTTTGAAAAATGGAAGACGGACTTAGCATTTTCCTATACTTAAATTATTAACATTTTAATCCTCACTCAAAAAGTTCTTACTTGCTTGTGACTACAAGGATATGGAGGGGTATTTGCAGGAGGAAAAATAAATTTTTTTTATGTTCTCTAAGTTATTTCGCTCTTCTATTATTTTCGACATAATGGATATCGGTAATATAATATACGTTACCATATAACTATTCTTACATAATAACTTTTATCTAGAAGCTATCAAAGACTTGAAGGTCCCCGTCTTCAGGTTTCTTCCGTCAGTGACTCGTGATGACCGAGTTTGTTAAATCAAAAACGTCAAGACATTCGAGACTCTTCTCCAGGAATATTGTGCTAGACAACTTATAAAGTGCATGGGAATGGCCGGACCAAACTTCATAGCTTCCCATATTCCAAATGGGAAGCTATGAATATGCCTCACGGTGTTCCGGAGATTGAAAAGCATTGCATTTAAAGCATTAAAATCCCAGATTATGAGCACCAGAGGAATCTCCTCAATAAGAGAAATTTCTTCAACTGCTGTTGAAGCAGTTGGGTGGCAGGTCCAGCCCTCTGTGAGCTATATAATAAAAGGAGGATAAAATATCGTTACATCGACAACTATTGAACGATAAAGGCCGTTCGGTATACATAATAACAACAAAAAGAACAATAAATACTCAGAAAATCGCCAACACTTTGCGGCCATATCCCGTAAAAGCAATTTTCATATCTTCATTTCTATATCTGGTTATACAGTAATTGCTAAATTATTCAACATAAAATCAAATTAAAATTACAATCTATTAACTAAATGTAATTGCTGAAGATAAAGTGAGACGAATCCGAGGCAATTATAAGGCATTTTTTTTTTCAAATGAGAGATAAGCTCAATTAAAATCTTCAGTGACGAAGAAAATGACGGAAATATAAATATGATCGTTTATCAAAGGTAAACTAATTTATCAATGATTTTCATTAAGATCTTACACATACAAGTGGAGGTTACGGGCGTGGGGTCTCCGATTTCAATGAACCTTTTTTTGCTTATACTAGGTCGAAAAATATTTGACCCGTGTCCGAGAGTTCTTGCAAATGCGGCCTAGGAGCCGAGTAAAATAATATATTATAAAATTTTATTATTTTTTATGGTACTTTTTTCTGACATTGCTCTGAATGAATTTATAATTTATTATATGATTTTTTTTTTTTTTTTTGTAAAATAAGAAAAACATATTGCTTATTGTATTAAACGAATTCTGATATATAACTAATTACAAAAACCCATCGATGGATTTTTGTAATATATTATGTATAAGTCCGTGCTCCCGATCAATCTCCGCTGGCTTTAGTAGCAGTATAGTAGTATTATGCGCATAGTAGCATAGTAGTAGTATGCGCGGTTGAGAGAGTTGCGGGGTATGCATGTGTTTTTTTTTGGCTTAGTTTTAATATTCT